AAAGAGTTTATTCCTTTCACGCACGGGAGTCAAGAGAACCTATGGAACAGAGTTATTTATTTTCGAAAGATCTAAATTAGGGTTTTTATTCAAAATAGCAAATAGAAGATGCGGGCGATTGAGAACAAGCGTCAGAGGGGCTGGGGGTCCACTTACAGCATGTAAGCGATGACTCCCACGCTCCACATGTCCGTGGAAAAGGAAACAAAATCATAGTTCACAACTTCAGGGGCGAGGAATTCTGGCGTTCCGAAGTTCACCTTCAGCTTCTCTCTGGGTTTGTATCTGAAATTTAGGAGACAATGCAGAGGAATGGAGAGGGTCAGTCAAAAGTCAAAAAGCACGGAAGTGGGAAGGATGCAGTCTAGGAGCAAAAGAACTGCAGCCACACAGCAAATTTAACATAAAGAGACGATAAAGGACATCACATATTGAAGAGACAGTGTCCAAAACTTGTAAAGAAGCTTTTCCCACTAGAAAGCCTTAATAATCTGAAATAATTGTGAGAAAAGCCACTTGGAATAATTTCGAGCACAAATTACGGAACACGACAAAAGGAGCAGAGCGATACAGACTGTGACGCGTTGATGGCTTGAACGAGCCTGTTTTTGTTTTTTTTTTTAACATCTTTATTGGGGTATAATTGCTTTACAATGGTGTGTTAGTTTCTGCTTTATAACAAAGTGAATCAGTTATACATATACATATGTTCCCATAGCTCTTCCCTCTTTGTCTCCCCCCCTCCCACCCTCCCTATCCCACCCCTCCAGGCGGTCACAAAGCACGGAGCTGATCTCCCTGTGCTATGCGGCTGCTTCCCACTGGCTATCTACCTTTGTTAGTATATGTATGTCCATGTCTCTCTCTCGCCCTATCACAGCTTGAACGAGCCTGTTTTAATGAATAAAGAAGATGCGGTAATTTACGACCATCTAATATTTTCACTAATGCGCTGAGGTCCATGCGGAGTCTTTGCTCCCTTAAGAGGCTGATCTGTGCCAGAACCCTTTGCAATCTTGGTCACACTATTAATTTTTTTTAAGTAAATATTCTCTTTACACATGGAACAAATATAAAAGACTAAGACAAACTCTTACAAGTCCTAAATGAATGTCTCCAAGTTTAATCACTGCACTGTACTAGGTTTTAAGGCTCCGTATTTTTCTTGCGTGCACCGTGGAAACTCCTAAACGTTCAAATTCTGAAGCCAGCAAGGTAAAGCTGAAACATAACTTTGGTTCATTCTAAATGGGGTACCAAGAGGTACATCAGATTTTTCTTTGCAAAGAAAGAGCACCGCCATGCTCCCTAACTCAGTTCATACACCTATGTCCAAACCGACATACCTTCTGGCCAATCCAAAGTCAATAATTTTTATTTGTTTAGTATCCCGATTCACACACAGGATGTTCTCAGGCTGCCAGGAGAAAGAGACACATTAGCAATGAAAACAACCATCCTTCACTCAAATTGTCCCTGAACCACAACTAAAAATACAACGATGCTCGGGAAAAACATATCAGGCCTTTCCCTCTGGGGCTGGCTTGTCTGCGTGGGTATTTTCCCCTTTAATTATGTGGTGGACAAGGCTGTAGGTCCCCTGCCTAGCTCGCCTGGCCCTGCCCATCCCTCCCCCAGCTCTGCTGCCAGTTCAGGACGAGGCCTCCTGCCTCAGGACTTTCCAAACGGACTGGTGGGGGCCGTCTCAGCCTTGACATCTGCCCCTTAAAATTATTAAGTATGAATTTCCCCTTCTTGGAGGAATATTTTTCCTGAGGATTTATGAGTTCCAGGAGAAATGGCCTGATTCATTCCACCAGCCACACTGCACATGCACTGTAATGAGAACGGCCCTAACCTCCGGACTTTCCCTTCGCGCTCGGTCTGTGGGAAAGTCATATGTAAAAGGAAAGCTCCCTCAACCCCGTTCACTCTCCATTCTCAGCAGTTCCAGAGTTTTGCTGAGTTTGGTCTCGGTGCCTAAAACCCTTGACTAAGTGTTCCCTTGGAGTTTGAGTCTGGAAAGACTTTGCCCCGCCAACCGGACAGTCTCAGGGTGACGAGGAGAAAGGTAGGTGGCACTACAGCTCAGTGTGTACAGAATGTCTTACAAGTGTACCTACCTTTGTTAAGATAGCAAAACCGAGGTCTGGGAAAAATAAGGGATTTGTTTTAAAGTCAAGGTCATCCGTAAAAGAGAAATAAAAATTTCAAAGAATTGCCTGAAACTTTCAAGCTCAAATTAACCCCAACTCTTCCCTAAGTGCTGGGGGGAAGGGGGAGGTTAGCCAAGTTGCCAAATCCCCAGGATTCATGTCCCATCCTTTAGGTGGGATCATGGCTGCCCCTCCCCTGCCTGTGTAGGTAGAGAAGAGGTTAGAATGAGATCAGAAACTCAGAAACACTTTATGAAATGACCTAGTGTCACCTTGCCAATAATCAATAGTCCATTTGGTGGGGCATAATGTCTTTGGAAGCCTTTTTTCTAAAATATCTCTAAAACAGATGTCTATAAGAAAAGGCGACTTATGGAAAAGTGGGTGCTATACAAGAAGATTTGGCCTCATGCTTAAATAACTGATTGATCACGTATAAAGCTGTCCAATTGCCAAAGAGCACCGTGACATAAAATATTTGCTTGCAGAATGTAAAGAAACAGCTCTGAGGGCACTTTAAAAAGTTAAATTTTTTTTCTAATTATGAAATTAAAGCATATTCATTGAATAAGTTTTGCAAAACCCAAAAAATATATAAAGGAGACCATTCTTAAGTCACCTATAATCTCCCCTACATAGTGACAAGCATTCAGTATTTTGGGCCCCTTTTCTTCCAAGGAGCTTTCTGAAAGGGATGCCTGACCCTTAATGATTCATCCAGCTGTCGCTTTTATTATGATCTTTACATACAAGCCACAGCTAAAATTGCCCGTTGCAAGTCCTCAATCAACATTATGAAGCCACATATGGAGTTGTTTGACTTGTGACAGGTCAGGTCCTCATTTCAATTGCCAGTCAAACCCCTTTAGGGATATTTGTAGAATATCTACACTCAATGAAAATGCTCCGTGAAAATATGCATTATCAAACCAGCTCATAGCCACGGGCTTTGCTAATGATTTTTAACCTCTGGCTTTGTCATTTTATATATCACTTCCTCCTGCCCTGTGGATGGCAGAGGCAAAAGACATAAATCAAGAGAGTAAGGGAGCCAAGTTAGAGGAGCAGCAGCCCATGGAAACCTATTTAAGGAAGTTAAATTTATTTAGCTCTGCAATCCCTGATGACTTGCAGTAGATGGTATGTTATACAGAATATATATTTTATCTCACTGTCATGCTGTGCAAACAGGGAAATGAGAAAATGACTGAGCCACACAAGAAGATGCACTTTACGAAATTAGAGCTGGTCGGAGTTATTGGTCTTTCTCTGGTTGTAACTATGCACCGTCCAATTCTAGGGACTTCATAATGGGAGAGAGAGCGAAAGGAGAGGCTCATTAAATAAGAGGAGAAAGAAGGCTTGGCTCCCCACTGTTGGCACAGGCTTTCCACTGCTCCCAGTGTGCTGCCCAGCCCCACCCACCCCACCCTTCTGCCCCTCACCCTTTTAGCACCTCCCTCTGGCTGCCCTGTATCCCATTCTGCCATAGGTTTCTCCTCTGTGCTCTAGTATGCCTGTAGAAAATGAATCCCTAAAGTCCTCAGTTTCCTAAAAGGTTTTAGGAGAGTGCTGGGGATTCTTAGAGAGCTGGAAAGTTTGGCTACAACCAGGAAATTCTGAGTTAGCTAAAATTCTCCCACCTACTCATCCTAATAATGAGAGGATGCAACACGGATGCTATGATGGTGGTGGTGATGGTGATGATGGTGATGATGGTGGTGGCGGTGGTGATGGTGGTGATCATGGTGATAGTCATGATGGTGGTGGTGGTGGTGATGGTGGTGATCATGGTGATGGTGGTGATGGTGGTGTTGGTGATGATGGTGATGGTGGTCATGATGGTGGTGGTGGTGGTGGTTGTGATGATGGTGATGGTCATGATGGTGGTGGTGGTGGTGGTGGTGGTGATGATGGTGATGGTGGTGGTGATGATGGTGGTGGTGGTGGTGATGTTGGTGATGGTGTTGGTAGAGGTGGTGCTGGTGATGGTGGTGGTGATGGTCACGATGGTGGTGATGGTGGCCATGGTGGTGGTGATGATGGTGATCGTGGTGGCGATGATGGGGGTGGTGGTGGTGGAAACCATCTCCCATGTGAATTCCTTTCACAAAGGCAAGTTACAAGAATCTGAATAGCTGTTCCCTACAGATGGAGATATGCACAGATTAGGAGGTGACAGAAGTTGAGAATGGGGAGAGGAGGCTAAGAATCCAGATTTTCAGATTCCTGAATATGTACCTAGTGACAGGATCAATCTCCTGAGCTGGTGTACAGTACCCAACAGGGCCCCCTGATCCAAGTCCACTCACTGAGGGGAGGGTTTGGGAAGGGTTTACATTTCAGATGATGCAAAACACACCCTACCTTCAGGTCTAAGTGGAGGATGTACATCTGATGCATGTGCCTTACCCCCTCACATATCTGCCTGATGAACAGGATGGTATCAAGCTCGGTCAGATTGTAGTTGTCATCAACGATGCGGTCGAAGAGCTCCCCTCCGTCCACACTGCAGGGAAAGA